TTTAATGTTCGCTATGATATGCACAAGACTAGACATTGCACAAGCAATGGGAGTGGTTAGTCGGTACATGGCGAATCCAGGCAAAGAGCATTGGAATATTGTAAAGAGGATCCTCAGATACATCAAAGGGACCTCAAATATTGCATTATATTACGGAGGATCAAACTTACTAATCAATGGTTATGTAGATTCTGACTATGCAGGGGATTTGGATAAAAGCAAATCTACTACAAGATATGTGTTCAAAATTGCTGGTGGAGCTGTAAGCTGGGTTTCAAAATTACAGTCAGTTGTGGCTACGTCCACAACAGAGGCAGAATATGTAGCAGCTACACAAGCCAGTAAAGAAGCAATTTGGTTGAAGATGCTATTGGAGGAGCTTGGGCATAATCAAGAGTATGTCTCTCTGTTTTGTGACAGTCAAAGCGCCTTGCATCTAGCAAGGAATCCAGCATTTCATTCAAGGACAAAGCACATACGAGTTCAGTACCATTTCATTCGTGAAAATGTGGAAGAAGGAACGGTAGATATGCAGAAGATCCATACCAAAGACAACATAGCAGATTTCATGACGAAGGCAATCAATGCTGATAAATTTACCTGGTGTCGATCCTCCTGTGGCCTGTCAGAAACGTAAGCAATATGAAGGTACAAGGTAGAAAGAATGGTGTGAAGATATGATTATTCCAATCAAATCTTCAAGTGAGAGATTGTTAAAAGTCAAATAATTTAGGCACCAAATGGTGCTTTGTCAAAGTAAAAAATTAGGCACCTAATTTTTGTTGAAATTGGGTAATGGGATAATTAATTTTAGTCATTGTAATTTAGGGTATTTATAAGATTAGTCCTTAAGTTTCAACTATAAATACCCTGGCTCATATAGCTTCAAAATCATCCCAAAGCATTCTAGCTTTCTTCCAATACTAGAGAGATTTTAGAGAGTTTCTTGAGAGTTGTTTTCTTCTTTTTATCTAGAGAGAATTATCATTGTTTTCTCCTTGGTAGATCGATAGAGGTTGTATTCCTATTTTCTCATAGTGAAATTCTTCTACTGTTGCCCGTGGTTTTTACCCTAAATTTTTAGGGGTTTTCCACGTAAATTTTGTGTCTCTTTTATCTTCATTTTTATTTTCTCAAATTATCAGTTGCGATTTTGCTCTATCCGATAGCCGTCTTCCGCAACAAAATCAAGGTTCCCCATGGCTTCGACTATGAACTCCACAACAGGAACGACATTAACAGGATCTTAGGTCCCAAGGCTTCCTGCATTTCCTTCAAGGACTCTGCTTGTAGATGCTTCGGCTACCTTGTTTCCAAGAAAAAGTACATCTTCACCATCGACGATGATTGCTTCGTATGTTCTTGTGCTCAAACCCGTGATCTTTAGAAACAACAAAGATTCCTCTAACCATTGAAGTAATTTGATTCTATCTTTTTGTGTTTTTTAAGTTGCCAAAGATCCGTCAGGGAAGGCGATCAATGCCTTGGAGCAGCACATAAAGAAGCTGTTACCGCCGACGACTCCACATTTCTTCAACACGCTCTATGATCCGTACAGAGAAGATGCTGACTTTGTACGTGGTTATCCATTCAGTCTCCGAGAAGGTGCTCCGACGGCTGTTTCCCATGGCTTGTGGCTCAGCATCCCTGACTATGATGCCCCAACCCAGCTTGTCAAGCCTCAAGAGAGAAATACTAGGTATGTAAAACAATTTCGGGTTTAAATCAATTCATATCATGAATTTAAATTGCGATTGCGGTTACATTCTCGTTTAGATTATGTTTATCGTGATTGAGGTAATAGTGTACGTTATTACGGTCATTGTGAGTATCACAATTGTAAAACAACGATTTTGAACGATATTTTACTGTTATATAACAACCGACCAATATTTAAATCTCTACTTCATATTTAAATAATTTCGAATTTAACTCATCCAATCGAACTTTTGTTTTTCTTTTTGCTCGGAAAAATAATTTTTTTATTAATGAAACCTAAGTTAAGTGCTTCATTAAAAACCTGCCTAAACTAAATGGAGGAAAATAGTACTCTTAACTAAGTGCAAAGAACGTCTTCGAAAGACACAACGAACCAAACACAAAACAAAATAATACTCATTGAACATAATATGTTGGATTTTTTGTTACTGAACTTTACTCTCTCTCTTATTTTGATCAATACGCCATTAAATAGTTAACGGTATTAAAAACGACTTCGTTTAAAATAAACAAAATTTTCGCCAAAACGATACTGTTTTGAATCTATATAACAACTCATTTTAACGTCGTTAACTATTTAATGACTGAGCGACTAAAAAAATCTAATGTAGTAAGTTCAGTGGAAATTTAAAAGATTTAAAGTACATTGGGTGAAATAGAAGAGACGGGAGAGAAAATAAAATTCAGTTACCAAATTTGTAATTTAACCTTAGATTTATATCATTACACTATCAATTCATTCTTGGTTATTAGGATTATTATTTTGGTTTGGGTGGTTGACTTTCAATGACCAAATTGGATTGATTGAGTCCATATTCAACATAAAATGGATCACATTTTCATGCTCAAATAATTTCTAGTTTGATTTATTTCAAATTCAATTATTTTAAATCAAAATCATATTCATATTCATGTTAGTCGTGTCAAATTCTTTTGTTAAGGTACGTTGATGCAATCATGACAGTCCCAAAGGGAACTCTCTTCCCCATGTGTGGTATGAATCTAGCCGTCGACCGCGAACTCATCGGACCGGCGATGTACTTTGGACTCATGGGCGACGGAATGCCGATCGGCCGGTACGACGACATATGAGCGGGGTGGTGCACGAAGGTCATATGCGACCACTTGGGACTGGGGGTGAAAACTGGGCTACCCTACATTTGGCACAGCAAAGCAAGCAACCCATTTGTGAACCTAAAAAAGGAGTACAATGGCATATTCTGGCAAGAAAAAGCAATCCCATTTTTTCAATCGATTGTGCTCCCGAATGACTGCACCACTGTTCAAAAATGTTACCTCGAACTTGCTGGTGAGGTGAAGTCCAAGCTTGGCGAACTGGACCCTTCATTAAGCTCGGTGATGCCATGGTTACTTGGATTGAAGCTTGGGATGAACTCAATGGTTCTCCTGGAACAAAACCTGCAAAGGTTTTACCCGATGGCACCTCAAAGAAAGTTTAAAGTTCCATTGAGTTTGTTTATTGTTTTTACATTTGGTGCATTGGGTTGTTTTCTGATTTCCTTCTGCAGTTCATGTTTGATTAATGTGTTCAAAGCTTAATACATTTTGATTTGATTAATTTGTCAGCAACATTATGAACATTAAGATATAATAGACTGTTCGAAATCGAAATAAAAAGTAAACTAGTGTCCGACATTACCAGATGTTATATTTTGATCTAAATTAGAATCGGTGATTAAGTTGAATTTTATTATAATTCTAGTGGTTAAAAATTACTTGATAGTTAGGTTTATTTAATAACGTTAATATTTATTTTAGGCAAGAATTTTTATCTTGTAAGAATTATTGATGATCAAATATTTGATTCTATAAATAGATATAATGTATTTGTACTTTTTGTGTTCTCTACATTTATAATAGATTATTGTTCATTTTACCTGTGGAGGTAGACAAAATCGAATTATTTTAAATCTCATCTCTTGTGCATGTCTTATTTTATGTTGATATCGTTTTGGGTTATTTTTCCGCTCTCAAATTCCTAACACCAAAGATAATTGGGGAAGAGGAGGAATTCAATCAGGATTCAAACTTTCTTGACATAGATAAGAAAGAGGGTAACTCTATCGTAAGTTATCGATTACTTTCTACTCATAAAAAAAAAGATTCAAATGCTTGTATTGAGAATTGGAGTTCAAAGGAGAGAGATCAAACAGTACCCATGGAAGGTAGAAACAAGACATGAGTAAACAAAGAACAAATATAGTAAACCAAACCAGCATGTACTGGGCAGGCCATGGAGTGCTAAAAGCACAGCCTTGGCCCTTGGGAATGTCGATATATACCAACAAAGAAAGGCGAGGAAACCAAGTGTCAAAGCCTAGCCTTTTTCCCATTTATGGTAATGGAGGAATCGTCCCATCACAAAAGGACAAAGGAAACCCCACTTCTTCCCCCCTTCGGATGTAGGTTTTGGCCACCCGCCTACCTGAAATCAGAATATTTTTCATTTTACTTAGGGTGTCCATTCTAAAATTTTATTTGTGGTTACTCTATATAAAAAATTTATGTTATTAATATACGTGTGTCGACCCTAAAAAAATTTCTAGATTCAACACCGGAGCGTATGAGCTGAATGCGTGTGCATGTGTGTGTGACATTGACATGTGATTGCAGCATCAATCTCTTTCGGATTTCCATTTTTAACATAGCACCAGCAGATGATGGAATGCATGGACAGGCACCCTATATCAGTCTCTAATCCAAACTCTTTCCAGAAAACCATGGGTTCAGGTTCATGCACCATTAATGCCTACCTGCTCCACTAAAGACATTTGAAGTGGAGAAACTTGAATCCTCCATCGCCAGGCCCAATGACTTGGTCCACAAATTACCTTGCCTAAGTTAGGGTTTGCTATTTAGATCGAAATTTCCTCCATTTTGATCATTCAAGTCAAATATCCAAAGTACTCTCTTTAATTTCTCTTAATGGAAGACCAAAGAGAGAGAAACTAAATCGATTAGATTCGAAGACTAAAATCGTACTATACACAAAAAATAACATTTAAATTTAAAGTCATGAATTCAAAACCCATCAAGTATAAACTCTTTGATTTTCCTATCTTTTTAGAAAGTATGATACTAATTATCAAAGTATAAACCGAATACTTTATAAACTTCTCTTAAAAGAGTAGGAAGAAGAAGCACTAAGGCTAGCTATATGTTAAAAAATCCTAACCTTAAATTTCTTCTAAAAACACCCAAACCCTTAAGTAATTACCTCGCTAGCTATATATATATATATGTATAGCATCAAAGTCTCTTTTGTGTTTTCATAGTATGAACCTTGAAGAGAAAGCTGAAATGGACTCGGTTCCACAACCTGAGCATCTCTGCTATGTCCGCTGCAACTTCTGCAACACTGTTCTGGCGGTACTAATTAGTTTAATTCAAGACGATCCAGTTCCCTCACTTATAGCTTAGGGTTTCTATTGATGATGATGAATTCATTTTGGTTATATTTGAACCATTTGATGTATATATATGTATGTATACATAGGTTGGGATCCCATGCAAGAGGTTGCTGGACACAGTGACAGTGAAATGCGGCCATTGCAGCAACCTCTCGTTTCTCAGCACCAGGCCTCCATTTCAAGGTGAATGCCTCGATCCCCAAACCACCCTCACTCTCCAGGTACGTTTACAAGCGTAACTTTTATGAACTAATCAGATTAAAGTTCGCGTTTTCGATATGATTATCAATGGGATTAACTTGTTTGTACACAATATGTTGAGGGGAAAGTAGAGTTTCGGCGGTGATTTCATGAAGGGCACTCAGTATTCATCGTCATCGAGCGAGCCATCGTCTCCCAAAGCACCATTTGTTGTAAAACGTACATAAACCTCAACTTATTTACACTCTCTCATCCATTCAAAGTACTTGCTTTTGATCAATCTTTTGCAGCTCCTGAGAAGAAACACAGGCTCCCATCTGCTTACAATCGGTTTATGAAGTAAGCAACGCTGTATTCTGCGTGTATGTGTGTATATATATATATATATATATATATATATATATATATATATATATATATATATATATATATCTGTATATAATCATGTTTTGCAAACTTTTTATATTGAAAGGGAGGAGATACAGCGCATTAAAGCAGCAAATCCTGAGATTCCACATAGGGAAGCTTTCAGTGCGGCTGCTAAAAATGTATGAACAAATTCCCAGTAATTTCAATCATTTTCTTCGATATAAATTTTATTTTGACGTAGGTTTTGATCACTTCTGCTCTGTAACATGCAGTGGGCTAAGTATATCCCAAATTCTCCACAAGCAGCGGCATCAGTTTCTGAAAGCAGCAGCAATGTAAGGAAACAATATATACACACACTAAAATAGTTTTGCTTTTGGGGGCAGCCATGACTGACAGATCGATGCTTTTAATTAGGGTTTTAATCAAATTTTCGAGGAATGAAGAAGAAGAGATATTAGTGCAGCAAGTTGCAAAGCTGGACTGCTACAAAGAAGATTTAAGCCATAATGAACGTGACTTTAATGTGTATCTCAAACTTTCTTAATTATCATCTTTTGTTTTAAGTATCCAATCGTATCATATGCATGTTTGTGTTACATCTATATGATTTTCCCGGACTTACTAAGATTACTATAAAAGTAAATATCTAATTATGGCAAATTAAAGTGAATAAATCTAAATTTTAATATAATAGAGGGACTAAAACTATAATTAGATCCTTTTAAATATGTAAAATGAAATTTTTAGAATTTGCAAACCAAAGTAAATTGTTAACATAGCTTCATTAAATAATTAATTTTCACAAATATGCATTAATAAAGTTTAAGCATACCCTCAAATTTTTGAAAAATCAATTAATTCAGTGTATTTTTACTAAATTAAAATTTTAAATAAAAAAAATAAATTAATTAAGTTCTTGAATGATAAAGTAAATCAATTTAAATGTTTTACTAATTTGGACTATTAAACTATAATTATTTTTCTCAGATATTACTTTCAACGATACACCGTAGTTCTGTCATGTGAAATTTATATATTTCTTTCAAGAATAGAAAAATATTGTTGAAATTCTAAAATAATTTTAAAAATATTAAAAATTAATATATTTTTAAAAATATCATTTCATAACTAGGGATGAGGTATGTCAACATTGTCGACTAGCAGTGATTTAAAAAAAAAATTAATGATCAAAACGGAACTAAAGTGAAAATTGAATGACTAAATACATAATTTATCATTTATTTATTTAATATTTCCCCCTCGAGAGAGTGACTAAGCACCAGTTATGTCAATTTTTTTTTTTAAAGTCAAACATCCATAATCCATTGTTGGGTTCAGTGATTTACCGTTGCCCTTAAAAGGAAGAGTTCTTCCAAGTGGGGAAGTAAACAAGAACCCAACTTGTAATTCTTAAATAAGATTCCCATCTGGGATTTTCATGGTTGCATTGCATTCTCTGTAGCTTTTGAATTCTCAATCCACTTGCCAACATGGCACTCAGCTCGTATCGTATCTCGTCGTATTCGTATCGTATTCGAATAAACATTAATATTTTTAGTTCTAAAGTAACAACATGCTTCAAACACTAAATTAATATCAACCTGCAATAGAGCAGCATACAAAGATATGCATGCACCACTTAAACTTCTACACATTATATATATATATATATATATATATATCAAGTTAGTGCAAAATGAATATATATATATATATATATATAACTTGCTAGTGCAAAATGATTCAAATTCTGAACTTTTTTTTGCAGGGGAGACCTTTATTCCAATTTGACTCTTAGTTTGTCCCTTTGAACATTGCCCTTTCAGTGCAACCAAAGTGTTGGGATCACTAAGCCAGCTCAAATAGTAGAGAAACTAGAGTTATATAGTAAAAGAACATATTACTACCGGACTTGCACCGACGTACGGTTACAATGTCCGGAATTTAGCGTTGTTGTATAAAGACAGGGAACAGGATGCACCAGCAATGGCGTTGGAATATGTCTAACAGCCTATTTGTGAAATGCATTGCAACTCTTCCTGTAAACCTGAAAGAAGGATAGAACAATGTAGATATATGGAGAAAATTTGAAAGCAGGAAGAAAGGGTAGGAACCGACGTTTGTGTATATACCTTTCTCCCTCTCGTACTAATTATGTGTTGAGGAAATAAAACAGGTCGTCGTCGTTTTCCAGCTTTACTTGCATGGAGTTCCGTTGTTGCTCCACTCTTTGGAGATGTGTTGAAAGTTGAAGCAAATCAACAGTGGTTCCGTTTTCAGGGGAAAGGCAATACCTAGTGCTCAAAAGATCCGAGTTTTGAACATCAACGTCGAAATTAGCAGTTTGAACAGCATGAGAGACCGCAATGGAGCCTGCATGGCTTATTCCCATGGGGTTCATTCCACACGAATAAAAGGTACTTCCTGCAGATTTCTCGGAGCTACGAAGAGCATGGCCAGCTTGATCGGGCATAGTCATTTGAATTCCTGTTGCGTGGCTCGATGAATCCTGGGATTGAGCTGACAGAAGAGAGAGAGCACAGTCTGAGCGTGAAACCCCAGAGAACTCTTTAACTGTTGATGCTGCACTAGGAGCATCGAAGGCTTCGGTTGCTGATGAAAATGTTCCAGAAACATGTCGTCTCCCACTGCCATGCATATGAAAGAAAGATGACGGTAGCAACTGCTCGTTTGCGATTGGTATTGCTAACTGTGAACTATGCATTGGATTCTCTTCAGATTTAACCTGCTGACATTGATTAGTGTACACATGTCTTTCGGAATGAAGAAAATCTACTTGAAATGTGTTTGGGATAACGAAAGGTGCTCGTTTCGATATGGACGTCCCCAGAAACTTGGTACCTGAGAGTCCACATAGGTTACCAATATGTTAAAAATTTGCAAAAAGTAAATTCTATAGCAATCAAAGGAAGCAAAGCAAGCTAACACGATTTGGTTGCTACGACTCTGTATTTCTATTTTTAACCTGCAAATCGAACTGAACTTATACCAAAAAGCATATATGAACCCATTAGACTTTCAATTGCAAGTTTCTGAAGACAGCGGTATTTTTTAGTTTACGAAATTCCTGATCAAGCAAGGCATTTCTTAGGCAAATTATTTCTGTATGCAGAGATTAGTTTTCGAGGGCTCGCACAAAATGTTTGTATCGACTTAGCCCTAGCCTTTTTTACTAGCTTGAAATAAGTTACTATCTGTACCAATGTGATCGAGAATACAATCGAGGGTTTAAATTACATGACCGGTTCTACCTCGTGACAGGTTTGAGTTTATATCTTCAAATGGATGAGACTCAGGAGATGTAAAAATAAGATATGGTTCGTACCTTGATATGGATGCAGCAGCTTATGTGATTTTCCAGAGAAGGTATTGAAATGAAGCTTCCTTCTCCGCTCATTATGCCCTGCTAGACGTTTACGACAACTCCGCTTACCGTCATCAAATTCAGCAAGTAAATGAAACCTGATGTAGCAACAAGAATTTTGATTAGTACCACAAAAAACGTATCGAAACACAGGCTATGAAAGTACGAAACAACGAACAATTATGTTGCATATCCACCCTAATATTTGTCGTCGATTTATCGCTAGAAAAGGACAATGAAGCAAAGACTTGGGGACCTTCCTCCAAAAAGAAAAAGTCAGCCTGCAAGAAACAACCTATATGCAGGCTGGAATACATGACGATTATAAGGATAAACACTTACTCATTTGCATTTACAAAAACTTCTCTAAATCGATTTCAATCGTTAAACGACATCCTTTATACGATCTTAAACTACAACCAAGCTAAGATAAAAATTAAATTTCACATAGAGGCATATCAGAATTGAAGGGAAAAAGATAGTTAAAAAAAGCAAGCAACCTGCTACACTGTTGACAAAATCTCTGCTCAATTCCATTAACAATAACTTTGGCCGTCTTAGAGTGAGCCTCACAAACTTTATGCCTCTTGTGGTAATCTTTTGAGGAGCTAAGATCCTTGTTGCAACCATAAACTTGACAACAAGGAGCCTGTGAAAGCGAGCTCGTCGTTCGAGCTTTCTTCGAAACGATGGAAGTTTCCTTTGCGAGTTTTCGATCATGTGCATCTTTATGATCAGTCAATCTCCCCAGCTTCAAATCAATGAGTGAAGATTCTTGACTGTTCTTGGAACCAGATTTCTCTTCACCAAAATATGAGCTAGAGGAAACAATACAAGAAGGGGAAACTACACTTTTAGTAGTGGAATCATTACCAAACTCAGATCCAAAAATCCCCATACTGGTGTTACCATAAAAGGGCTTCCTGTTCATATCAGCAATACAAAAATCCATGAAATCCATGTCCTCAACGACTTCAGTATCAGTGGAAGAGGGCTTGAGGTCCCAACATAGCATTGCTTTTCTGCTTCTGGAAAAAGCATCCAAATCCATTTCATCACCGAAAACAAGGCCTTTTCCTTCAGAACAATAGCTCCAAGACTCCATCAGTGTGAACAATGTAAATGCCTACACATAATTGGTAAAGAAGTTTAAAATAAAAATCATTAATACAATAACTACTTATCAAGTGCTAGGGGGGGGGACAAAAGAGAGTGATAAAGATACACAGACCATTGATTTCAGTAGTGTGTTAGTTCAATTTTAACATTACATTACAAAAAAGGAAGTTGGAGATATCCCATTGAGCATTTAATTAAAAAGGTGTACATTAAAAGAGGAGAGAAAATCAAAGCTATGTTTGGTTGCAGAGAAAGTGAAGGAGATTTTTTTTAAAAAAAGGAAAGAAAATGGAAACTCAATAAACAAGTTACTAATAACTGAAACCGAGTAAAGCTGATGGATCGAGTTGCCCAGAAAAAAAGATTGATTCTTTGATATCCAAATCCCATAGGACTAAAACTACTGAAAAAAGCATAATAATTTTAGCTGAAGCAGAATAGATTAAGAGAACCCAAAGCTCCAAATTCTTTCACATTTAGAATCCCAAGAAAACAGAGTTGCAAAAGCATAATCAACACACAAAAAAGGCAGAAAAAAAGGACGAAAACAACCCATTAACAGAGATTAACAGACAAAAAGAATTCACATGTCGTGTAACGTTAGGTCCCTCTTAAGAAAACTGTAGTAGAACAATTAAGGATGTCGCAAGATTCCCAACTTTCTTTCCTTTTCCTACAGTTTTCTAGGAAACCAAACAAAAAACCCATCAAACAACAAACATTACCCGTATTTAAAAAAAAGGGTTCTCAAGATTTCTCCTTTCTTTGCTTACCACGGAGAGAAAAAAGAGAAGAAAGGAAATGATAAACCAGAAGAAAGACAGGGACAAGGTAAAGCTGCAGTATTATTAGAAACTTTTGGTTTTTGAGTGGTGAGGTCGAAGCAGATACACTGTGAGTCAACATGATTTCCTCTCCTACTATTTCTATTATTCTGTCTCAAAAGCATGGCAATTTTTATTAGAAAAAAAAACACACCTTCGAAATATTATTTTTTAATATAACACTCATTTCATATTAATTCTTAAAAATAACATAATAATTTATAAATGATTTAGTAGTTAAAAAATTATTATCGTTTCTTAAAATCTTAAATTATAACAGTTATATTTGTAAAAAATCAACGAACTTCAACAGTTACGATAAACATTATATACAACTTCGAGTGTTAAGCCGATACAAAAAAAACCATATGAAAGAAAATAATAAATTAGGTTTACTATTGGAGCAACAAATACCCTTAAGCCATAAATTTAATAATTATTTTATAATATTTGAAAGCTTAATGACCAATAAGATCATTTGAACATAAATAAGTGACCTATGAAGCAATTTACCCAGAAAACAATGACAGCTGTGTTTTTTTTCTAGCGACGACAAAGAAAAAGACACCGGAAAAACGAACGCATTATTTAATTCTATGTTGGGATATCTCCGGACCCTGCTTGACATTTGTACACCCTGGTGAGTTCACACGCGTCCAACTTTTAAAAAGTGTCTGAATACAGGGTTAATTTATTAAATTTCCCCATACTATTGTCTAAACTCTAATTTAGTCCCTAAACTCGTCCTAACAGACAATTCAACGTCGGTTCAGGTCTGTCATGGATCAAATTGTAAATATGTATGTAGTTAACATACGGACAATTTCATCTGGAATGTTAAAGGAAAATATACAATATTATTTACAATTAAAGAAAGATAATTCTTATTTTTAAGGTGTTAAACCTAAATTGTTCTATCTTCGTAGATCTGTGTTTGCATTTAACACAAAGATGATTAAGCTAATGAAATAATCATATTAATATAATTCTTTGATTGATTAATTAAAATATTTTTTGAATTAATCGCTGATGACAATTTATTAATCAACTAATTCAGATCAAATTGTGTAAAGATTCATTACGAGGGTCACCTCCTTACCTAATTTACTTTATGTATAAATGTCATTCAAAGACATATATGGTGCGTTTGGTTCACGGAATGAAATATTACCAGTGGAAATGTAAGATTATCAGGGAATAGGATTACTGGGAATGTTGTATTTTGTGTTTGGTTGGCTTAGCAGGAATGTAAGATTACCGTGTTTGGTTAAAGGAATAAAAGATTATTGGAATGTATATTTGACCAAATTTTCCTTATTATATATTTGTTTTTTAACAAGTTGAAAAATATTTATATATTTCCTTTTAAAAATTTAAATTCATAAAATTTATATAATTTTTTTTACAAAATTGAAAATATAAAAAAGTCTAATGAAATGTTAAAATTTTATTTTAACCCCTGAACTTCATATAAAATTTTAATTATAGATTTTTTTTGTAAATCTAAAATAATTTAAGGATAAATTTGTAATTTAACATTCGTAGAATTTTTATTATTTAATGACAGAAAAATGATATTTAAAAAAAATTAAGGGCATTTTAGTCCAAAACGCCGGGAATCCAACAATATATAAGGAAATTGAGGTAATGGCATTCCCGATAATATACCCTAAAAAATTCACTATTGATAATTTTACATTACCGAAAATGAAATTTTTAGGCTAACCAAACGGAAGAATGTGAATTCCATTGTCATGAAAATCCCATATTCCCCATCCAAACATCTCCGTAATGTAATTAACCCGAAAAAGAAAACCAGAAAGTGGGAACATTAGGCAGGGAGGCACAAGGAAACTAACAACCAGCTTTTCCCTTTCCTCAGTGAACCAATGTTGCATGAAATGGCAGCCAAAGGCATTTCCCTTGTGTGGGGGAATGTTTAAGGAAAGTTATAAAATAGTATTTTAATTATAAAATATTATTTTTAAGTCTTTTAGATATTAAAAATTATATAATAGGCACTGAAATATTAGTTTTGTTCTAATTTTTTCTGTTTTGTTAAAAAATTAACGGTATTCTAAGTTGAATATTAATCAGCTGACTATAATACGATAAAATATGATCATTGAATCTTAAAAGACTATCATATATCATTTATCAAGTTAACGTCTGACTTAGATATCTATCAATTTTTAACAAAAATGACGAGTTTGAAATATAATGAATAGTTAGATGATCGTTTTGTAATTTCTAATAACCAATGAACTTAATAAAATAATATTTTATAATCAAATTATCATTTTATAATTATTATGCAGTAATTTCTAAAAAAAAATCCAAAAGAGAGGGAAAGGGTAATATATGAGGCGATTTGACCAAACTGACATCCTTTAACTGATTATTTCCTATTATAACACCATTTTACTTATATTTTTCGAAATAACACCCTTTGTGCTTAGGTGGCGGAAGGCGCATCACCAGGGACGCGCTTTCCATGAATTTATGCTGACTCATGTGACACATGTGAAAGGCGCATCCCCGGGGACGCAGGGACGCGCCTTCACGGGGTTTTGCTGACTCAGGTGACATGGTGATATGTTTTTAATAATAAAATTTTTATTTTTATTGTTATTATAAATTAGTAATATATTATGTAAATTGTTTCGGCTATAATTTAATAATTATCGAATGAATTTTTTTAATGTGTGTTAAAGGTGGAGTTTATTATCCACATTAATCGGATAAAACAATAGATGAAAACTAATTTTTATTTTATTGTAGTTATATGAAAAATGTATAAAATTATTATATTACACGTATGGTTATATTATTATTTTTTATTGTGATTATCAATCTATTAATTTTATCACTTAATTATTTAAATATTATTAATATAGTCATCTGTTATTATTATTTAACCAAAATATTGATGCATAAGTTAATAAAATTAGTATAATTGCACATTTAATATGTTATTATTATTATATATTGAGAAATTATAATAAATAATTATTGATGATAATATCGCTAAAATGTCTGGAGATTTGGTCAGCATCCAATCGCAGCAGCATTTCACTTTCAATTATAACTGTAGACAAAAAAAATAATTAGCACAAAAAAATAATTAATTAATAAATTTAAATAAATAATAATTTATATAAATATTATTTTAATAAAAAATAATTTTTATATAATTATATTAATATAAAATATAATAACTATGTAAAAAAATACTATCTTAAAAATAAATTTCTTACCACTAATAAGAAATTTAAAACTTAAAGATTTGGAGAATTTGAATTATATAAGAGAGAAGAAGATGATTTTGGTGTGAAGAATGAGGGGTTTATATAGGGAGAGGAGTAGCGGTAGTTGGGGAAAAATCGGATGGGTATTAAAGTCATTTAATGAAAAGCGCGTCCCTGAGAATACGTCTTTCACACGTGTCACTTGAGTCGGCATAAATTCATGGGCGCGTCTTCCGCCATCTCAGCACAAAAGGTGCTATTTCGGGAAATATGGGTGTCAGTTTGGTAAAATCACCTCTATATATATATATATATATATTATATATATATATATATATATATATATATATATATATATATATATATATATATATATATATATATATATATATATATATGAAGCACTCACAGGGAGGAAGGTGCATATGTCCCCATCAGGCCATCACCCATCTAATCTCCCTGCCAAAGCCATTAATGAGTCAAAAGCTGCTCTTGGCTTTATGAAAAAAACAATCCACTAAACTTTGCATTTTACAATTGCCTTTGTATCATCCATCCATGATCCATCCATACATATATACATACACATATACATACATCCATACATATATACATACACATATACATATATTTATTTGTAAATATATTCAAAGAGACAGGTGGCTCGGCCTAATGTTCACAATAAATCAACTTCCATTATTATCGTCTCTTAAGTGAATTTATATTCATTTAAACGTGGATAAAATAATAGTACGGAGAAAACTTTATATTATTAGAAACCTAATTAATCAATCAAAATTCGATATTTTTTTTTGTGTCCATCAAAAACTAGATATAGCCCATATTTTATATTAAAAACCTCAAATAATTAATTATTTAAAAAAATATGACCCTTTAAAAATTATTTGAAAGAATAACCCTTAATTCGTCCACATTGGACGACCTAACGACATACAAACAACGTGTTAAATCTTCGTATCTTCCAACACGCGAGATACATCTGACGTGGGCAGACTTTCCAGGTATACCAATAAACGAATTAGATAAAATGAACTCGTGCATTGCGAAGCGCAAGGTAGCCTGATGTCGGAACCGTCTTTCGGTTGGGCCCCGGAATTGGGCTTCGACTTGAATTGATTGGGTTGGAGTCGCCACCGACCACTTTAAAACGAATTTAGGTGGGTCGGACACCATCTTACCTGATCTGCGTTGTACCAGAAACGTGTCGGGTTCGGGAGTCGATTACGGTCAAGGAAGGATTAGCACCCTTGAACCGTCCTTTCGGTACCAATTAATTTGTCGGTTGCCTTTAATTGCGAAAATTAGAATTTAAATTAAAATTAAAATTATTCGATCCGAATTACTTACCATTTGATCGGCTGAAATCATGACTGAAACAAAATATGTTAGATAAAAAGCGACAACAAAATGTTAAATAATATAAAAAAAATATAAAAAATAATAATAATAATGAAAGAAAGAAATAATAAAATAATAATAAAAGGTTAAATTAAAAAAATATTTAAAAAGTAAAATGAAAAATAAAGATAAAACTTAGGATCAAATTGGAACAAATTGAACTTAATGAATTAGAAAATGAACTGCAAAAGAACAAATAAAAAGTTATGGGACCAATTCACAGAATATAAAAAATATAAATAGGGACCAAATTGATTAAATCATAAATATGGGGGCTAATTTACAGGTAGTGACCAAATTGAACTGCGACTCAAAATACCAGGGACTGCGGAGAGGATTTAAAAATATTCTATTTGCAGATCAATCCTTCGTAAAACGACGCCGTTTTGATTTTCATATTTAAAGCCGAAAATAGGGTTCTATTTCTTCATTCCTCTCATTTGGTCACTTCTCCCTCTCTCTCCG